GGGTCGCCCACGGCCCCCTGGCACTCGTCCCCGGTGAACCCTGGGGGGCAGGAGCAGGTGTAGGTGGGGGGCGCCGAGGGGTGGAAGAGCCGGGGAAAGCAGGTGCCCCCATTCCGGCAGCGCTCGGGGCGGCACGGGTCCTGGAACTGGCACGACTCCCCCACAAAGCTGGGGGGGCACCTGGGGAGAGAGAACCCAGGAATCCGGTGAGGGGGGAGGGAGTTAAGCCCCCCATTTTCCCTCCCCCCAAAACCCACCAATCAGCTCCCTCTCCCTGGGTTACCCTCAACTCACAGGCAGGAGTGGCTCCCATTGGGGTGTGCCAGGCAGGTACCCCCGTTCACGCAGGGATCCCGGGCGCAGGTCAGACCTGGGTGGGGGGTGGACAGACGGACGGGGGGGTCAGAACACCCTCTGACATGGAGACCCCATCTCCCCAGCCCTCCACCCCTACCCCAGAGCCCAGGCTGTACCTCGCCCAAGGGTCCTTATCCCGGGATAAACCCCCGGTACAGACGCCCTTATCCCAGGATAAAGGAGCCAATCCCCCTTTAGCTCCGTCCCCTACAGGGACGGCTCCGCGCTGCCCCCCAGCCGGGGGATCTCCCAATGGGGACGGAACCAGCCGGCCCCACTATGGGCACAGAGAACCCAGGCACGGGGGCAACAGCCCGCGGGGGGTCGAGCATTTCTGTTAATTTGGTTTCCAGTTCTGGATGGGATGAAATGATGGAATATTGGGTGTGACGTAGCCCAGGGGAGCTTGACAATGCGACAGAAAATCCATCGCGTCAGAGGATACAGCGTTCAAACGTGTTGCGTCAGCTCGGTTCGGATTTCATACACTGCACCCCCCGGGCCGAGAGCACGGAACGGAGCTGAGTTCACGGGATTATTTTAATATAATACTACATGGAATACGAAAACATGAAAATAACCTTAACGTTCATAAATCTATTATACGCACTATTGAAATATTAGAGAGTGATTCAAATGTAAATATATGTGATAAGATATATTTAATATGAACCATAGTTGAAATATAATTGTATATATAAAATATATTACAATATTATATACAGCAAATAGTATATTCAATATTTTAATCTTCAACATAATAGATACCGATAATATTAACACAATAGATCTTCTATTGAATATTGATATCTTGATATGACTATATCATATGAAATGTCAAATATATCATTAATTTTAAGATTAGATTATACTGACCATTTTAATATATTATATAATAGCGATTCTAGTTAATATTTATTAGAAGATATATTAGGTATTATAGTATCTATCTTCAATAATACATATACATGTCATTCTATATCATGAAGGCAATTTCAATATTGGATTATAGATATTTCAAATGTTAAGATGATCTATATTCCAATACACTGTATATAATAATTTTATTTAATGTTATATATATGTAATTAAATATATTAATATAGCAGTATATATATATATATATATAAAATACAATATTAAAACACTAGCTCTCATATTAGTATATGCCATTCAGTATAAGAATTTCAGTGATTGATGAGCAGTCTATATAACACCGCCCTCTAGCGTACCCCTGGGGTTCTGTTTACTAGGGCACCATTCACTAGCATTGCACCGAATAGCTCAGTCCAGCGTAATGTGACACTGGCTCATTCACGTGGCCGCTAGCAGTGGTGGTCACTAGGCCGTGTAAACGGAAGCGAAGTGACGTCCCCTGAGCACACGGACACGACACGATTTTACCTGAGCGAAAGGAGCGGTTGGAAACAGCCAGACGGGCCTTTCCCGGCCCCCATGGCCCTGCCCCCACATCCCATCCCCCAGCATCTGCATTTCGAGGTCTCTGCGTTTCTGTCCCAAAGCCGGGGGACGGGGGAGCCTGAGCCGTCACGGCCCTGCGGGCCCATTAGCGCATCGAATCCGACCTGCTGTACGGCCCAGGCCTGAGAACGTCCCCCGCTGCCCTGCCCCACACAGACACACACGGCCCCCAATACATCGCCAGCTCCTTGGGCACAGGGCTGGCTGCGAGCAGGCGTGGGGGATTTCGTAGCCAGGAACTCGCCTGGGAAACAGGACTTGGTGCCATTTCTTCTCCTGAAGCCACCCAAGGACTGGCCACCGCTGGGCCTTCCCCCCCCCCACACACACACTGGCGAAAGGCCCCTTTATCCTGGGACAAGGGCCCCACACTCGGGACTGTCCCAGGACAGCAGAACCGGGAGGCCACGTGAGGACAAGGCCAGCGTTTAACCGCCGGACACGGTCCTTCGCCAGCGAGGTGCCGCCCCCCTCCCCAGCCCGTGGTTCCAGCGTCCGTCACCCACCTGGGACCTCCTCAAAAGCCAGGAGAACCCCAGAAACCCCAACGAGCTACCTCACAACCCTCCTGCTTTGCCACAGTGCCCACTGCTGCCTTATGCCACCCGCCCGGGTGTTCCCAGGATCGCCCTCGTCTGGGCAGCCGGGAAAGGCACCCGGGTGCTCACCGCATGGCCAGCGGCCCGGCTACAGGGGCGCAGGATCAGCCCGGACGTCCCGGGTTTCGGGCCCTCGAGGTGGCAGCTCCCACCATCCGACAGGGCGGGGGGGGGGGGGGGGGGCAGGAGTACCATGACCCAGCATTAGACCCGCACTATAACAACTCAAGGAGGGCTGGCTTCCGGGACCCCCGGACTCAGCCACTGGCCAAGTCACTCCTCGGTGCCTCGGTTTCCCCACCTGGACACTGGGGAGAATGAGCCCCACCTGCATTATAAGGCGCTCGGAGCTGTACAAAGGTCAGCATCTTAATCCCCATTGCCCAGATGGGGAAACTGAGGCATGGGGCGGGGAAAGGGACTTGGCCAAGGTCACCCAGCATGGCAGTGGCAGAGCTGGGGATGGAACCCAGGAGTCCTGGCTCCCAGCCCCTCCCCCCGGCTCTAACCCACCAGACCCCCCTCCCCTGCCAGAGCCGGGGAGAGAACCCAGGAATCCTGACACACTGGCCACTCCGCCCCCCCTTAATTAAACAGCACTAATTACGCCCCCCCCCCTTGCTGCCCCTGGCACCCGTTACCTGGCGTTTGTTCTCCCCTCCCTCGCCCGCCTTGGCACCGGCTCCCTCTGCCCATTAATTAACCTCGGTTCCTTCACTGCCATTAATTCCCTCCCCCCCCCGTGCAATTAAATTCCCACCCATCAATTCTTTCATTTGCATTCACTAATCGGCAATAATTGCAGGCGGGCGCGCGGGCACCCCCTGCCCTGTCACTACTGGGCACCGATTCCACCCCCCCGCTAATGAACGGGCACCAATTATCCCCCCCCTGCAGCCTTTTAATTCTTTATTAATCCACCCCCACTCCCCCCCAAGTCCCCCCACATCCTGCCCCCCCGCGTCCTGCCCCCTGTTCCTGTTGTTTTCCTGTTGTTCCCGACTCTGACTGTCCCGGCGGCATCCGGACCTCGGGGAGGGGTTCCGGGAGGGGGGGAGCGCTGAGCGTGGGAATCAGTCGGGGGGGGGGGGAACGATCACCCCCACTACACATGCGGTGCCAGCCAGGTACACACACACACACACACACACGGTGCCAGCCGGGTTCACACACACGGTGCCAGCCGGGTACGCACAGACACACACACACGGTGCCAGCCAGGTACACACACACACACACAGTGCCAGCCGCATACACACACACACACACACACACGGTGCCAGCCAGGGACACATACACGGTGCCAGCCGGGTTCACACACACACACACACACGATGCCAGCCAGGTTCACACACACACAGACACACACATGGTGCCAGCTGGACACACACACACTCACACACACACGGTGCCAGCCGGGTACACACACACACAAAGACACACACACGCACACAGTGCCAGCCATGCCCACCTCCAGGCAGCAGGTGCCCAGATAAATCAGGGGGCTCCCGGAGGGGCCTCCCACTCCCCAGCCTGCTCCCCCCCGGATCTCCCCCCCGTACCTCGGGCCAGCGGCAGCAGCAGCAGCAGCAGCGGCCCCATCGCTGAGCACGGAGCCCCCCAGCCCCGAGCCCGGCCCCCGCCCGGCCATTGTCCAGAGCTTCCTGACCCACAATGCAGGGAGGGACCCGCCCCCTTCCTGCCCCCCAGCCCGGGAGCACCCTGCCCCCGCACGGACCCCTCCGCAGAGCGACCGGCAGGGCCAGAGCCCGGGCTGCCCCCATGCCCCAGGGCGGCGCTAGGTGTGGGGTCACCCTCCCCCACCTGCCCAGACTGGGGCCCCCCCACAGGACAGGAGCCAGGCGGTTCAGTCACCTCTCGCTTTTATTTATAGATGTAAAAAAGCCCCCGGGGCAGGATCCGGCTGGGGGGATCCACAAAAGGGGGGGGGGCCCTGTGGAGGGGAGCCCCCCCGGTCCCTCATCATGCCCCCCCAGTCTATAAATATCCACAGGGGAAGATAGTGCAGTACGGGGGTGGGGGGGCAGGATCACCCCCCCACGGGAATGGGGGCCAGGTCCTAGCACAGGGGGGGTCACCCCAAGGAAGGGGGGGTCCAAGCTCTGTCCCGCAGCCCGCCTAGGCTGGAGGCGGGGCTAAGTGCTGCCTCATGTGGGAGGGGTGGTCGCTAAGGGGCAGGGCCAGCCCTCACCCATGGGGGAAGGGGCAGTGCCTGAGGGGGCGGGGCTAGGCTCATCGGGGAGGAGGGGTTCTCTGAAAGGGGCGGGGTTAGTGCTGCTCAGGTGGGAGGAGCTATCCACAAAGGGGCAGGATGAGCCTCAACATAGGCAGGGCTGTTACCAATAGGGGCGGGGCTAGCCACATAGGGGCGTGGCCATTGCCAAAATGGCATATCAGGGGGCAAGGCGAGGCCCAGATGGGCATGTCTGTCACCAAGGGGCATGGCTAGCCCCGGGCGGGCGTGGCTCTTGCCAAGGGGCGTGGCCAGTCCCGAGTGGGCGTGGCTAGCTTGGGTGGGCATGGCTTTGCCAAGGGGCGTGGCTAGCCCTCGCCCTGCTCCCCGAGGTAGAAGGTGCGGGGGCGCCGGGCGGAGCGCAGGGGGCCTCGGCCCGGGCGGGGCTGCACTGAGGGTGCCTGGGTCCGGTTGTCGGGCGCCGGGGGGCGCCGCAGGGAGGGCGGCACCGTGGAGCTCTTGATGTGGATCACCCGTGTGTCCATCACCTCGCAGTCGATCTGCATCATCACCTCGAAGCCCCGCGACGCGTTGTACAGGCTCTCTGGGGAGAGACAGGGGTCAGCCCGGTGCCGGGACGCGGCTGGCTCTGGGGCGGGTTGGGTGATACGGGGACCCGGCGCCGGGGAGAGGCTGGCTCTGGGGAGGGGCGGGTGATACGGGGACCCCTCGCCCAGCGCTGGGATGCGGCTGGCTCTGGGGTGGGGCGGGTGATACGGGGACACCTCGCCCGGTGCTGGGATGCGGCGGGCTCTGGGGCGGGGGATACAGGGACCCCTCGCCCGGCGCTGGGATGTGGCTGGCTCTGGGGCGGGGCTGGTGATACGGGGACCCCTCGCCCAGCGCCAGGAGGCGGCTGGCTCTGGGGCGGGGCATGGGGGCCAGTTATCGCGGTTCCGAAGCACAGGGAGCCAGGACCGTACCATTCAGCGCCATGGCTGGCATCACCAGCGACATCTTGGGCCGGGTGGTTTTGTTGTGGCTGATGGCCGGGAGCAGCAGGTGATCCTGGGGCCAGGAGACAGACAGACCAGAATGAGAGACAGACACGCAGAGAGCGCCCCCACTGCCCCCGCCCCCTGCTGTCCCTGCCCCACTCCCTGCAGCACAGCCCCTAGCGCCGCCCTGGGGCAATGGGGAGCCCTGACTGCCTGGGCAGAGCCCCCTGCTGCCCCCCGCTCAGCTCCCTGCAGCCCAGCCCCTGGCACTGCCCTGGGGCAATGAGGAGTCCTGACTGCCCAGGGGGAGCCCCCGCGGCACAGCTCCCCAGCTCACCCTACGGAAGGAGACCACGTAGAACGTGTCCTCCCGCCGGTCGATGGCGTCCATGAAGTGGTGCTCCGTGCGGTCGGGGCGCTGGTAGACCTGCAGCTCGCTCAGCGAGTCCCTGAAAACGGAGACGGGCGTCAGGGAACAGGGCCTGTCCCTGTGGGGGACGCCGGCCCCGATCCGGGCACAGGGCGAGGCTTGGCTGGCTTTGGGGAGACCGGGGGCCCCTTACCTCTCTGGGCGTTCGGGGGGGCTAGCTGGGACGTATCGCGACGGGCTGGGCACCTTCCTCTGGGGTGACTCCTGTGACCGAGATGGGGAAGAAGGTCAGTGGGGGGCACCGGGGAACCCCCGCAACAGCCCAGCACTTGGCACCCCCAGAGGATTGTGGGTAAAACCACCCAGGATTCTGGGTAACGCCCTGTGGCCCGGGCAGCTCCCAGCCCCCTCTCCCTGCAGTCCAGACACAGACAGACTTGGCTCCTCCCTCAGTGGGTGGAGCCACCCCGGCTTGCCCCGCCCCTCCGGCCTCACCTGATTGGTGCGTGGCTTGCGGGACTGCAGGGGCTTCCTGCGGTTGATCTGGTGCCGACGCACCCAGCCGCTGAGCTCGTCCGCCAGCCTGGGGGGCAGAGCGGGAGGGGAAGGGTTAAAGCGGGACTCGGGGGCGGTGCCTAGGGGGATTGTGGGATAGGTTACCCACAATGCCTCACAGCCAGGGCTCCATTCATGTGTGCACAGGACTAAAGGGGCTGCTCCCCAGAGGAATTCTGGGATCCGTTACCCATAATTCCTCACTGCAGCAGCTCTGCTACTGCCCGTCCAAGGACAGTTTGCAGGGGCTTCTGGGAGATGTTACCCACAATCCCTTACACGGGGGGGTCCTGCCCATTGGCATACGTTGGGAGCCCCCAGGGGATTGTGGGATACGTTATGCACAGTCCCTGCCGGGGGCCCTGGGGAACCCACCGGAGCGACTCCGTGCGGTTGAAGTGGCGGCAGTCGGACGCCAGGAACAGCTTGTCCAGGTCCCGCAGCATCAGGTCCTTCATGCCGGAAAGGGCGGCCGTGAGGTTCCTGGGGGAGCAGAGAGCAGCGTCACCGGCGGCTATGAGGAGCTGCGGGGGTGGGGGAGCCCCATGCCCTTACCTGAACCTGGTCTTGCCCACGCTGGCGGGGGCCAGCTCCTCCCGCAGCTCCCTCGGCTCCTCCTTCGGCGGCTGCTCCACCACACCCAGCAGGTGCCGGCGGCTCTGCCCGGCCCCCGCCCCCTGCCTGGGCGGCGCCGTCTCCACGGCCTTCTGCTCGCTGATGCTGGGGGGGGGAGGGAGGGGTCAGACAGGCAAGGCTGCTCCCAGGGAAGACTGGAACATGTTACCCACAATCCCCTGCAGGCAGGAGTGTGATACGGGGGCTACAAGGGCGGGTACCGGGTGATGCTGGGACACGTTACCCACAATCCCCTGCAGGCAGGAGTGTGATACAGGGGCTAAGAGAGCAGCTCCCGGGGGATGCTGGGACACGTTACCCACAATCCCCTGCAGGCAGGAGTGTGATACAGGGGCTAAGAGAGCAGCTCCCGGGGGATGCTGGCACACGTTACCCACAATCCCCTGCAGGCAGGAGTGTGATACGGGGGCTACGAGGGCGGGTACCAGGGGATGCTGGGACACGTTACCCACAATCCCCTGCAGGTAGGCAGTGCAATACAGGGGCTCAGAGGGAGCTCCCAGGGGATGCTGGGACACATTACCCACAATCCCCCGGGGCCTCACCTGACGGGCCCGAAGTTGAAGGCGATGAAGAGCAGCACGACCATGACGCAAACGACCTTCCGGTTCCCAGGGCTGAACTTCAGCTCCCTGCTCTGGAGACAAGGGGGCAGGGGGGTGTCAGAATGGTACGGTCCGAGCGAAACCACCCTCCCAACAAGGGCTGCCCCCCCCCCAATATCATAATGGTACATCCTAGCCACAGGCAGAGCTCCCCCTCCAAACCAGGCAGCCATGATGGTATATCCCACCAACTTCCCACCCCATATCATAATGGTACATCCCACCCAGAGCTCCACCCCTACAATGGTTTGTCCTACTGGCTCCCCTCCACCAAAATTGCTATCATAAAGGAACATCCTACCAGAGATAGACACCCCCCCACACACTATAATGGAACCTCCTAGCAGGAAACAAAATTTTCCTGCTCCCCGCACTGTTACTAACACCCCTTCAAAAGTTTGGTGCCCCCCCCTCTCTAGGGGTGTTAATGGAATATCCCAATGGGACGGCCTAAACTCCCCTTTTACAAGGAATATAATGGTACATCCCTAGAGGTTCTCAATCTCCCTCCCCCCAGAGATCATAATGGAGTCTCCCAGGATACACTGCTAATGGAATTCTCCAGAAAGCAATTTCCCCCCCCTCACACAGTGGAGCTAATGGAACATCCCAGGAGGAGACTTCACAATCCCTTACTCTCACAGGGGCCATAGCGCCCGCCCCCGCCCCCCAGACAATGGAATGTCCCACAAGGGGGTTGCTCCCTTCCCCCTCCACATGGGCCACAATGGAACATCCCAGAAACAGACAATATGAACAGCTCCCCCTCCCCCCCGTCCCTGAAAGGGATCACAATGGGACATCCCAGCAGAAAGCATCTACCATTATCACCTCTGAGGTAGGGGGAAGGGATTTAGAATGTACCATTATGAACTCTACATGGGGAAGGGGGCGAACAGCACCTTGCAGGGATGTACCATTATGGTCCTGTTCTGCCTGCTACTACATATACCACCATGACCCCTGGGGGGGTTATGGGATGTACCACCATGATCATTAACTGGGGGGAGCAGTTTACTGCTGAAATGTACCATTATGATGGGGGGAGTAAGATACTGTGGCTGCAAGAATGTACCATTATGACATGAGGAGTATCTTGGTGTTGGAATGTACCATTATGATCCCTGCATGGGGGGGTGCTTTGTGCTGGGATGGGGGAAAAGAGCTGATTGCTGGGATGTACCATTATGCTACCTATGGGGTCAGATATTTACTGCTGAGATATACCATTATGTATCAAAATGGGGGGGATGCTTGGTGTGACCCACCCCGGCAGAGCACAGCCCCCGTGGTGCCCTGCCCTGGCTCGCCTGCGGGGGGCGCTCACCTCGCCCAGGACGCAGTCCAGCCGGCGCCGCAGCAGGGTGTTCTCCCGCCGCAGCCGCTCGTTCTCAGCCAGCGCCTCCCGCAGGCGGCACTCCAGCCCCTGCAGGTACTCCTTCTTCTTCCGGCGCGACTGGCAGGCCGACTCCCGGTTCTTGATCATCCGCTGCTGCCGCTTTAGCACCTTCACCTGGGGGCGAGGGCAGGCAGAAAGGGGGGGCTACGGGTCAGGAGTGAGGGGCACGGGGGGGCTGGGCTAGCAGGGGCTCCGGGTCGGGCGTGAGGGGCACCGGCAGAGCTGAGGGGGCGGGGCCGGGCTAGCGGGGGCTGCGGGTCGAGAGTGAGGGGCATGGGCAGGGCTGGGGGGGCAGGGCTGGGCTAGCAGGGGGCTGCAGGTCAGGAGTGAGGGGCACTGGCAGAGCTGAGGGGGTGGGGCTGCGCTGGCAGGGGGCTGCGGTTTGAGAGTGAGGGGCACTGGCAGAGATGGGGGGGGCAGGACTGGGCTGGCAGGGGCTGCGGGTCGGGACTGAGGGGCACCGGCAGAGATGGGGTGCGCAGGGCTGGGCTAGGCTAGCAGAGGCTGCGGGTCGGGAGTGAGGGGCACCGGCCGCACTCTGTTACTCACGTCAATCTCTGGGTTGCAGGGTCCAAGCTGGCTCGGGGCCGGGACGATGGTTTTGGCCTCGGGTTTGGGGGCGCTGGGGGGGAGCCTGGCCGGGGGGCCCTCCTTCCCCGGGGGCTGCACCTTGAGGAGCCCCGAGAGCGGGAGGTGCAGGAGGTCGCTCTGGGAGATGACGACAGACGGTGCTGGGACTGCGGGGAGGGATGTGGGTCAGTGTCCCACACACGCACCAGCCCCGAGTCCCACGCCCCCGCCCCGAGCCAGTCAATGCCTGCCCTGGGGCGCCCCCTAGAGGGGACCAGCCCCGTGCCCGTACCTGTGATGGCTGGCTTGAGGGGCTGCGGCTGGGCCCCCGGCACCGTCTGCAGTAGGATGGTGGGGCTGGGGGTGGCCGCGGGCTGCACCGGGACGGTGGCCACCACCACCGGCTTTGGCTGGATGGGCGGCTTCCGGCTCAGGATCGACTCAGCCTTGATGGGAGTCACTGGCTTCCCTGCGAGAGAGTGCGATGTACTTCCCCCAGCGCCCCCCGCAGAGCCAGCCCCACAGCACCCCCCACAGAGCCAGCCCCTCGCCCTGCTCCCCCAGCGCCCCCCCACAGAGCCAGCCCCTCGCCCCGCTCCCCCAGCGCCCCCCGCAGAGCCAGCCCCTCGCCCCGCTCCCCCAGCGCCCCCCCGCAGAGCCAGCCCCTCGCCCCGCTCCCCCAGCACCCCCTGTTAGCCGGGTCCTAGTCGCCAGAGACCCTCCCCCACAGCCAGACCCTACCCTCCAGTGCTGGTTACCTGGCGTTGTCTGTGTCTCCGGTGCTGGCAGAAGGTTGATCTGGACGGTGCCAACTGGGGGGGGCCAGGACATCCCCAAACATGCAGGGTGGAGTCGGGGGGTGCTCGGCTTTCACTCCCGTCACGTCGTCTGGGCTTGCGGCCTGGGGGGAGCCACAGCTGAGTGTGGGGGCCAGGGGGGCACAGAGCTGAGTGTGGGGGCTGGGGACGTCTCCCAGGCCAAGGGGGGGGCACGTACCTGTCTCGTGGGGTCGGGGGTCATGGAGAGGATAGAGGAGTCTGAGCTGTGGGAGGAAGCGGGGGACACGGGCTCGGACTTCACCTGGAGGTCTGCGCGGGGGATGGAAAGGGGTTAGAAAATAGTCCCTCACAGATATCCCTCCGCCCCTTACATCCACCCACCCCAGGGCAGCCCCATTGCACACAGATATCCCTCCGCCCCCTACATCCACCCGCCCCAGGGCAGCCCCATTGCACACAGATATCCCTCCGCCCCCTACGTCCACCCACCCCAGGGCAGCCCCATTGCACACGGATATCCCTCCACCCCACCTCACCATCTGTCCCAAATGCTGAGAGGAGGCTGGGCTCACCCGGGAAGAGGCTGGTTGGCATCTGGTCCCACGGCGGCTCTGGGGGGCTGGTGTCCATGCCCAGGTCGAAACCGTCGTCAAACTGCAGGGGGAAGGGGGGAGATAAGGGGTGAAGTGGGGGGTCACCCGTGTATCTCTCTGGGGTCCAGTCCGGCAGCCCCCAGTGTACAGAGGGCCCTGCTCTGAGGGGCAGCTGGGGCCCTGCTGCCGGGGGGATGGGGAGTGGGGGTGCTATGGAGCAGGTAGGTCACTGGGGGCACCCCAAAGGCAGGGCAGGGTGAGGGAAGGACTCACCAATGCACTGGGCTCCAGGCAGGGGAAGAGGGCGGCGGGCTCCTCCCCATCGTCCAGGCAGCTGTAGAGAGCCGCATCTGGGGGCGGGAAGAAAGGGGGAGTCAGTCCCCTTCCTCCAGGCCCCTCCCCCCCAGCACCCAGCCCCACCCCACTCCTCCAGCCCCTCCCCCTCAGGCACCCAGCCCCTCCCACTCTTCCAGGCCCCTCCCCCTCCAGCACCCACCCCTCCCCCCGCAAGCCCCACCCCCTCATGCAGGCCCCGCCCCCTCATGCACCCAGCCCCACCCC